GAGCTCAAACAATCCGCCTGCCTTGGCCTCCCAGAGAGCTAGGATTACAGGTGTGAGCCACCGTGCCTGGCCAATATTTCAATTTCTTTAGTGAATTTTTCTTCGAAGTCCTGGATTTTTTTTTTGTGGTTTATTTGTGTTGGTGATCATGTTTTCTTGCATATCATTGAGTTTTCTTACAATCCATGTTTGAAATTCTTCTGTCATTTTAGTATTCTGGACTTGGTTAATGTCCGTTGCTAGAGATCTGGTGTTCCTCTTTGGGTGTGTGCTTTCCATTTGATTCTTCATACTTCCAGAGTTCTTTCTCTGAGTCCTTCCCATTTGGATCAGCCATTGCTTCTCTCCTTTCAGTTTTCGTTTGCAAAATAACACGTCCTGTGTATTTTCTGTTCCAGTGGCTGTTGTAGCAAGGCAGATCGCAGGTGCTGCCTATCAACCTGGATGTGTGCCCTTCTATGGTTACTTGATCTGCCGCTAGAGGGAGCCGCTAGTATGTTGTTCAGGTTCTTCTACCACAGCTGGGAGGCTGCTACTGATGGGAGGGGTTACTTGGGGAACTTGTTTTGGTCTCTTACCAGGATTTTTGTTCCCCAACCACAGACCTCACTGTTGGTAGCTGACCGGAGGCAGAAATCCAGCCCCAGATTTGTGATCCTACTGGATGACCTAAACCAGTCTGACGAGCAAAGTCACTGGGCTGTCAACTATCGGCCAGCGCCAAGGCCCTGCGGGTTGAAGCTAGTCATATAGTCACAGTGGGAAAGTGGCTTTTTATGTCTCTCTGCTGTAACCCCAGAGGTGGAGCCTACCACTTTCGGCGTGAAAGATGCTGGCTAGGGGGAGGGGGTGGTGCCCCAGTTCGCCCAGCGCCCCAGTGCCCCAGTGCCTGTAAGTCCTGCAGGCATTAGCCTCTCACAACTGAGGAAGTATTCAGAATTCACCCATGAGAAATGGGCCTGGCTAGTTGACTGTAGGTCCTGTAAGAGTGGAGCTTGTCGCGGGAGTTCCCGGGCTGGGCGAAGGGAGCTACCCGACACCGTATCGCACCATAGCGGCAGGGTTGTGGGCCCCGAGAATGGCGATCGCCCGCCCTCAGGACACTAGCACTGGAGGCAACCGTGCAGGGGCTGGCAGGTGCCAGATCAGGGAGCTGAGTCATCAGGGTGCCACGTTGTCTCTTTTATGTCACCCTCCCCCAATCTCACACCTGTCCAGCAGGAGCTGTCGCTCTTACTGACCTGCCCTGAGCAGGCTTATTCGCCGGCTGCGGTTTCCAGGTTAGGGTCCCCTACTTAGTGGTCACCTCCTTGATCTGGACCCGCTGGGTGCCAGAGACAAGCTTCCTGACTCCTAACTGCCTCCAGAGGTAGCCCAGACCAGCCCCTCCCCTGTCCGGTGCAGTCCTGACACGGAGCTCCAGGGTGTTCAGGATGCTCCCCGCTACTGTCTCCTCTCGTGGGGCAAGAGCCCCACGTCTCTTGCCACAATTCTGCACCCACTTCACGCAGGTCCCTGTCTTTGTGGGTGTGGAAGTCAGTGGGGAAGCTAGACTTTCTCTTGAGGGTCTGATCCCTCTGCACTTGCTGGCCAGGCTGGCACAGCCGTCCCACACTCCACTGTCTATTGTCTGTCTCGCACTCTTCAGGTTTCGCGTTCCTATCTCCCGTTCACCTTTTTTTCCGTTTTGTGTGTCCCATGCTGAATCTCCGCAGATTCACGTCGCCGTTCTTGTGGGAGAGTGATCCGTTCATGTGTAGCAGACTGAGATCTAAACCTCTTTCTCTGGGAGTAGGAATCCAGGAGGTCACCTTTACTCCCCTCCATAATTCTTCTTTATCATTTAGTCTCGTGTAATTAATTCTTGCTCTTTTTTTTTTTTGTAATTCTTCCTCTGTTTGGTCTTAGCAGTTTCACAAACTCATCAATTTCTTCATTAGTGTTTTGGAAATTCAGGCCAATGGTATGAACTCAAAGTTATTAGAAACTTGTACTTGTCACAGTTCTTTTCATTCTCCCCTCTTTGAAGACATAGCACTCTAGAATTATAATTGTTTGGGAAGAGCTTTCAGAAAAAGCATCAGAACCAAAACAATTGACTGCAGACAACAAGACTTAAAATGGCCATGGTTAAAAACCTGATGAGAGTCCATTTTAATAATAATGCAATGGCCTACACACAGTGGCTCACTCCTGTAATCCTAGTGCTTTGGGAGGCTGAGGTGGGTGGATCACTAGAGGCCAGGAGCTCAAGACCAGCGTGGGCAACATAGTGGGACCCTGTTTCTACAAAGGTTTTATTTTTCTAAGATATTTAAGCTTACTTTTTCTTTAAGCCAAATAATTGGAGTTCTCATATATTTTGGTAGAGAAATATCACATATATAGACATATAGACATACAGATACACAGACAGAAACAGATCTTACACATTCATTAAGACTCTTCATTTGCCAGTTTTCAAATAGTTTCCTTCCTCACCCCTTGAGTATCAGTCTTCCGATTACCTGTTCCATTGTCATTGTTAGCTATACAGCCCTAAATTTGCGCTTCTAAAGGAATGACTGCCAGATGAAACAAGGTAGACAATTTGCAGAACTTAGATCTAAACACTAGTATTTGTGAAACAAAGACAGACATAGCTAAAGGTCCAGTTAAGACAAGATGGCTAGGAAATATACCTTAAGCAAAGGTGAGGTTTGTGATATAAACTTTAAGACAATGTCTTTGCCAGTGTAAAAGTTTCTAGTGGTTTAGGCTCAGAGAGGGAGACACCCTTACAAATGGAAATTTCCTTTATAGCCATACATTTCTTTTACAAAGAATTTTAAAATAGCGAGGTAAATGTCAGAAAGTGGTATTTTGGAGACCAGTTTAGTTGCATAGGCAGTCTTTTCAACTTAGCTTGTTTCTTAATTACATTACTGGCTTCGTGGGGAGCTCTTTAGGACAAAGAATAACCATAGAAACTTACTAGAACTTCCCTTGGAGGCCCATTAGTCCTAGTTGTTAAAATGGAGATTATTATCAGAGGGTGGGCAGCCTGATTTTAGGGGCTTTCCTCCAAATCTTCGGGGGACATTCCCTTTTCCGATGTCCTACTTGTTTGCACAAATTCTTGGAAACTGCTGTTTTAGTGGTTGTTTATTGGGAAAAGTGCCCTGGGAAAGGCCTAAGAGTCATTCTACGTTGTTGGTTGCTGTGGAGCTGAAACACTTTGGGAATGGTTTTCAAAAGGTCACTTGCGATCTTTCAGGGTTTGCGTGGCCCATAAGTAGACCAGGTGGGGCTTGTCAGGTCCTTGATAGTATTCTCAGGAGAATACCATTCTGTCTCCTTTATCCATTTTGGGCCTCCCCAGGTCCCACCAACATGGTAGAGGTCATATATCCTGGGTCATAAGTTACAATTAAGACCAAAAATTCTTCAGAAAACTTTCAAAGTTCTTCCCTAGGTTTTGGAAATTTTTAAACTATGGTCCTGAGCTCCATTTTTGTTCAGCGAATGTATGTCACTTGGGCATTGTGTCCTGAATTTTCAGCTGGTTCTTATAAAGAAACTGTTTAACTGTTTTTTTCAGGGAAGAAAGGCAATTCAGACAGAGACTAGGCTGTGACTATTCAGGCAAAGTAGGATAGAGGGGAGCAGTAGGAGTCATGTCAGTTCCATGTTCCTTGGTATGGAGAATGTCTTAAATTTCTCGTTTTTCATTAGCTCTTTGCAATGAATCTTTTAAAAAGACTTTTAGAATCCTGTTGTCTCTTTGAGGCTTCTGAATGCCAGTAAGAATCCCATTCTCTCTGCCTAATTCAGGAGGCTTGGGATTCAAGTGCACTTCTTAGATATATGGTTTTGTTTACCTGAAACTTTCAATATAATGGCCATTGTGATTCTGAATTATCTTACTAAAGTAAGATTTTATGACTTTTGTAAATATTTGTAGCTGCCAAGGCTAGAAATATTATACAAGAAAAAGGCAGGTCTATCAGAAAGTACTCAGATCTTTAGAAATTAGGGAATACCATTCAAAATATTTTTTTTTTTTAGATGAGTTCTTACTATGATGCCAAGGCTAGAGTGCAGTGGCTATTCAGAGACTTGATCATAGCTTACTACAGCCTGGAACTCCTGGCCTCAAGCAATCCTCCTGCCTCAGCTTTCTGAGTAGCTGGGACTACAGCTTGTGTGCCACTGTGCCTGGCTCAAGGTCCCATTTTTATGTTGGATCTTGGGTCTCAGAGCCAAGATGGCTTTGGCTCTGAGATCTCCTTGACCAACTTACCCAGTGACTTTCCAGTTTCTGTCTGACCCTGTCAGACACCTGAGGCTTCCTTTACCTAAGCATGCACAAATCAAGAACCCACATACCTGTGAATGCCAAAAGCTGGAGTTCACATACCCCTGCAGTAATAACCACTTACTGCAACTGCTGTCAGTTACCTTTAAAATTGCAGCCCTTTATACTAGCTACAAATGGGGTGCAACCCACATTACTTTCTGGCCATATTCTTAGGGGATTGACTCAAGGCTTTCATGGAACCATGCAAGAGATATCTCCAAAGAAGGAGAAAAAAAGAAAAGAAAAGAAAAGAAAAATTGCAGCCTTTTCCAGTGACTTGTTGGCCACCACAAATCCAAAAATCACATGTCCTGCCACAGCACAAATTAACCCTAGGTACCCCAGAGGCAAAGAGATCAGGGATCTCAAATACAAAAGAGAGCAGAGCTTAGACCTGTGAAGGATTTGCTCATGAAACTGCCTTTTAGAAAATTAATAAAGGGCCACAAGGAGCAAACTGTGTTAGGGGCCTAAACTCTGCGAAGCTATAGGCATAATTGAAAAAATAACCAGCCATTGTTCCCTCGCTTGTTTTCCTATAATTACTTACTACTCAGGAGTCACATAACTGATAGTCATAAGATTCATAGCTCTCTTAATTGCTCCCACAGAGGACATCACCCTTGTGAAAGCTAAGGCTGCTCTTTGAAATATCTTCCAGACCCTACATTCTGGTGGACCAACTGACCCAACCAGAGCAGTGGCCAACACCAAGGAACTGACTCAACTGGTCTTGTGACCCCCACCCAGGAACCGACTCAGCACAACAAGACAATTTCTACAACCTCTTGATTTCACCCCCAACCCAACCCATCAGCAGTATTGATTCCCTAGCCCTCTGCCCGCCAAACCATCCTTAAAAAACCCTAGCCTCCAAATTCTTGGGGAGACAGATTTGAGAAACTTCTCCTGTCTTCTTGCTCAGGGACCCTGCTATAAATAAACTCCTTTTCCTCTGCAACTCCTGCTGTCTCAGTGTATTGGCTTCCTACTGTGTAGCAAGAAATAGAACCTGGTTGGGTGGTAACAAATTTTGGGGGCTTGTCTAGGATTGCCCTTGTGGGCACTTGCCCATGGTGAACCTAGAGATATGCCCTAGCAACCACTCAGTTCTCTTGGACTGAGGGCCATCTCTGATATTGTCACTACCGGTGGGTTGTTGTTGACCCATGGTGCTTGGACCTCTTTGCAGTGGAGAAACAGTTTCTCGAACTAGAATATGTTTTTGGTGAGTATTCTAAGTGCAACCAGCAATCTTTTTCTTCTCCAGATCTACTGGCCTCTCTGGAGGCATTGTGGCTCCTTTGCAAATCTTGGTTGGAAGAGTCTCATCTTGGGGAGACTTCTCCCCAACTGGATGGAGGATAGGGAGTCTGTCTGGACAAATATTCTTTAACTTTTGGTTTGACTTATTTTGGAAGGCCTTTTTGTTTGACTTGTCTATGTGCCGTGTGCGTGTGTGGTATCAGCTTTGCTTTGATCATGGCTCCCTTACATGCACCTGCACCTCCCCTTTGCTTTATTCCCTATTACACCTCCCAGAGGATGACGGGTGGTCCACCATCCCTGCAGGACCTTCCAAAGACTTTCTGGGGTATCTTACCTCTTGCCCCCACCAGAGCTGAGGGGAAGTGCTTGGGAAACTATGGCAGTATTCGTTCAATATTGCTGGGAGGTTAGTGAGACCCCCATAGGCCATCCACTGGAACACACCCTCAAAGCTCTCTCTCAACAACATTGAATTTGAGCTGCCCCTCAGATCCCAGCTTCAACTGTTGCAGGGACTGACTGGGCTCACTCAGCTTGAGTTTGAAGGGTTGAGTGAGACACTCCCCCTGCCTTGGTAGTCTCAGCCTTTTTATGACAACTACTAGACAGTAAAGGGGTTTCTATACTGGGATCATGGGACTCTGTACAACAGTGGTAGGAGCACATGTTCCAAAATTCTGCTGAAATCAACTTTGGGAGACTTATCATGAGGTAATTCTCAGGTGGGGAAGCACCTCAATCTATCATGTAGGATTATACCTGTGCTTATTATGTTGCTTTCTCTGACCTGCGGGGAAGCCTCTAAGTTCACTCTTTGGCATTTTGGGCTTCCTAATAGGCCAAGAAAATTGAAAATTTGATTTGGGTCTAATCCAGCAGATTGGGTGTCCCTAGAAACCATTGGAGACTCCCTATTGAGAGCTGGAGACAAATTTGGAACAGAAAATCAATAGTATGGGGAGAGGGGAGGGGCCAAGATGGCAAACTAGAAGCAGCCTACACCCGCCGCTCTCATGGACAGCATTGAAAGTGGCAAGTAGATATTCGCCTTTGGATTGATCACCTGAGAGAGCATTGGGAATCAACAGAGAGGCTACAGGGGGCTCCCAAGGTGAAGGAGAGGGAGGTAGGGCAACCCACTTGGCAGTGTTGGAGGTACATGGGGGAGGCAACTGTGCCTTGGGAAAGGACAGAGGAAAGAACCCCAGGGCTCCACACTGCAATCAGAGCTGCAGGAGGCCCCTCCAGTGCAGCATGCCAACAAACTGACACAGGGAGCTGACTGGAGACTGTCCAGTGGTATTACTCTGGAAACAAAGCACAGTGGGTTCCTGTAGGCTTACAACCCCTCGGCACTGTGGCTGGTGCCATTTTGAGGTCCCAGCCCCAGAGTACCGTGTCTACCTGGGGGTCAGATCCATTGCTGCCATCTCCCCATTGCTTCTGCTGGGCCAGGGAGAGAGTGGAGAGGCTGAGTGCTACAGCTGCCTGATCAGCCCCAAACAGCCAGAGATGCCATGGGGCCCAGATGGAGAGAGCACCCACAGCCCCAGGTGCCTGCTGCTGTCATCTGGGTGGCACGGCCATTGCCACTGTCACCTGGGTAATGCTGTTGCTACCAGACCTGGGCAGGGGTATCACTCATACCATGTATACCCACCACCTGCTGTATATCCCCAAATGTGCCCACCACCTGTGACAGCCACAGGGAATGGGGAGACACAGGAGAACAGCAGTGTTAAAGGTTCACAGTGTATCCACCCCTGTCCTGTCTGGTCAATCTCCCAAAGTAGGACTCAAGAACACTATCCAGGGACCTCTCCCTCTCTTTACTGAGCAACAGAATTCACAGCAGAGGAGAAAGACATACTGCAAAGCTGCCTGTCTTGAGCTCAGAGACAAGGTTTCAGATGAGAAGGAACAGGTATAAGAACTCTGGAAACACGAAAAAACAGACCATTTTGACACCCCCAAGGATCACAATGGAACCCAACCGAAAGGATATTGTCAAAATGTCAGATATGGAATTCAGAATATTGATGGCAAATACGATCAATGAGACTGATGAAACAATGGAAAACCAACACAAACGAACAAAAAATAATTCAAGACATGAATGAAAAATTCACTAAAGAGATAGATAATATAAAAAATATAACAGAATTTTTAGAAATTAAAGTGTCATTTAGGGAATTTTAAAATAGAGTAGAAAGTTTTAACAGTAGACTAAATCAAGCACAAGAAGGAATTTCAGAGCTTGAAGAAAAGGCTTTTGAATTAACCTAGTCAAAAATCAAGAGAAAATAATCCAGAAGAATGAACAAAGTCACCACATGTACTCACCATCAAATTGGTATTAACTGATCAACACATAAATGCACATATAAGAATAACATCTATTGGATGTTGGGCAGGGGGAAGGGGGGAGGGGGAGGAGGGAGGAGGGGACGGGTATTTGCATACACAAAGAGTGCAATGCGCACCACCCGAAGGATGGACATATTTGAAATTCGGACTTGGGGGGGGCAAGGGCAACATACGTAACCTAAATATCTGTACCCCCATAATATGCTGAAAAAAAAAAAGAATGAACAAAGTCTTCGAGAATTATGGGACTATGTAAGATGACCGAACATAAGAATTATAGGTATCCCTGAGGAAGAAGAAAAAGCAAAAAGTATGAAAAACCTACTTGAGGGAATAATGGAGGAAAGCTTCCTTGGTCTTGCTTGAGACTTAGACATCCAGATATAAGAAGGTCATTAAACACCTGGAAGATTCATGGCAAATAGGCACATAGTCATCAGACTGGCCAAAGTCGAAGTGAAGGAGAAAATAACTCAAGTTGCAAGAAGAAAGCATAATTTACAAAGGAAAACCCACCAGACTAATGGCAAATTTCTTAGCAGAAACTTTATAAGCCAGAAGGAATTGGAGTCCCATTTTCAGTCTTCTTAAACAGAATAACTGTCAGCCAGGAATTTTGGATCCTGCAAAACTAAGTTTCACAAATGAAAGTCTTTCCTAGACAAACACACACTAAGGGAGTTTGTCATCACTAGACCTACCCTATAGGAAATGCTTAAAAGTCCTCTGTACATGAAACAGAATAATCAATACCCACCAGTGTAAAAACAACCCAAAATTAAAACTCACAGCTCTTATAGAACAGTAACACAAGGGAGAAAACAAAGTAACTAG